ACAGGGAAAACTGGATTTAGAAAATTCTCCTTGCCCTCCATGCTGCCCACCGCTGTGATTGCTGGTGATGCAGTAACAGAATCCTTCCCGTGGGTCTATGACAAGTCTCCCCATCACTGAACGAACAGCTCGTTAAAGGACTTCAGTTGAACAGCAACTGATGAACTCGCCGGTCGTTTATGGGATGCACGTCAGGCAGTCTAAGAGGGGGTAGGTAACATGTCCGGCCAACACAGCTGAGCTGAGGTTGATGTAGCTATTCAGTTAGAAGGAGGTGAGGTGCCTAGAGATTTCCAATCCTTTGCCTCCTCTTCGCAGAATTTCCAAAACGTAACTAGACTGGGAATGTTTTATGTATCTAAGGGCTAAAGAAAGTGAACACACGGCAATATTTTTAACCAAAACCACAGGAAAACATAGAGAAAGGAAAATTGAAAACCTTTTAATGAACCTACAGGATTTAGTCAAAGTCACGGGCATACAAAACAGAAATATTTCTCTGAATCAGTCGTGATCTGCATATAAAAAGATAGGAGCTAGAGGAGTCCAGCGGGACTGAGTCCAGGAGCGGCTTCAGTTGGAGGGAGGTGGAGGGGGGATGGTGCCTGGCCCCTCTGTGGGGAGGGGCGGCCTCATCATGGGTGGCAGAGGAGCGGGGGGAGGTACACCGGGTGCTGGTGGCAACTGAGGTGGCACAGGAGGTGGTGGCACTGGTCCCGAGGGAGGCATGGGAGGCAGAGTCATGCCTCCTGGAGGAGGAGGAGGCATGGAGTCCGGCAGAGGTGGCCTTGGGGGCAAGCCGTTCATCAGTGGAGGTGGAGGAGGCCGCTTCACAGTTGGGGGCCCTGGAGGGAGGTTTGGGGGAGCTGGGGGCTTCTCCATCTTGAAGTGGAATTGAAGGAAGAACTGGGGAGGGGAGGGGAGAAAAGCAAAGAGAAGGGAACAATTAATCCTCAGGACAACTTTGTGCCATCACACAAGACAGCTGCTCTCTGCCTCCAGGAACACAGCTCGGATCTCTCCTGACTCGTTACCTTCACAGATCACGGCTGCCTTCCTACCCTGGCAGCATTCATGACTGGCAGTGCCAGCCTTGTCCAGTATTTTAACTCCTCTGAAACTTGTTCTAAGCGCTAAGCTACCTGTGAGGGGGTCAGTATTCCCCACTACGCGTTCGTCCCCTGCTCTCACAGACGATACCCAGTGAGCACATCCGTGCCACAGACAGCTCTGTGCAGGAAACACGCAGCGAGCGGCCACCGAGAGGGCACGGTGTCGCACATTTATGCACCGTTCTGCTGACAGCAACCGAGGATTTTGCCTCCCTGGTTAAATTCTCACAAAGATCACACACAGGAAGATCTTTTTCTGTCCGGAGGAGTCAGTGCACAGTTGCATTGAAGGAATGATTTTAGCATCAAAGCCAGCACGGACATAACTGGTGTGCCCTCTTCCTGCATTGCCTTTCCCCCGAAGCTGCTCTGCCCTCCTGCTCCCTCTTTAACCCTTCAGAAAGATGTTGCAGTGCTCCAGCTACCTGTTTGGTTTCCCTGTTCCAGTGGGTCCAAAACTTTCCTTCCGCTTTGTCGATTTCTCTGCTTGGCACCTGCAACAAGAAAGAATAAGGAGCTATTATTAGCACCGCCAGAGTAGCTCAATGGCCTTTTTTAGCACTGGACCCTGCAAGATAAGCACAGTTATTCCAGGCCTTTGTGAGATGCGCTTAGTCTCGGATGTTATTAGATAGAGATGGGGGCAGGAAAGAATTAAGTTACTTCCCTATCGGTCAAGGACAAGTGTGCTGGCAAAAAACCTTCTCCTAACATCTGCACAAAGGCTGAGGAGCAAAGCCCAGAAGGCTCCTTTCTGTGCCAGACGCTGCGGATTCAATGGCTCCCCAGAGCTCAGCACACAGCCTAGTTTTCATGCCAAAGTCCTCCACTAATTCTCAGTAGGGTTTAATGACTTCCAGTCACGTCTTCCTGACGCCCCTTTCCACTCCGTTAACCCCCTGAAGGCTATAACAGAAGTCTGTAATAATGTTCATTGGGAATTAATGTCTTGGAAAACATGGGAAGGGAACTTTCCCAAGAATCTGTTAATCCCAACTCTTACCTTGAAAGCGATGGTTTCATAGGGCTCTGCTGCCATCAGAAGGTACTGCCAGCGTCTATCAGGGGGCTCAATCCTTTGCTCATAGGCTGACATGAACCGATGACGAGGCATAATACTTTCTGCAATCTCCGGATAATCAATCTGTTGGGTGTTATTGCAGCATTAAGGAGAACATCCCCTTTTCAATCCTCCTTCGTGCAAACCAAATCCCTCAACTATGAAGCACATTGAGAGATCAGTTCCAAACAGAAAACTTGGTGCCACTAAAGGAAACAGCTTGACAACTACGGTCATGGATTTGCTTGACAAAATCAGCAGCAGAGGACTAGGAAGGTAAGGTAAGGCCTTTTTTTATTTTTTTCTTTTTTAATTTGTTTCATGAATCCTGCAGAGAACTGCTCATTTAGCAGCACTCTTACTTGGATAACCCAGACACCAAGAATTTTAACAGTGCTCTTACCTGGAAGAGAAGGCTCTGCTGGCCTGTTTCTGGATCTCTCTGTTTGGTCACTGTAAAGGAAATAATAAAGCTCAGTACATGACATAGCAGGATTAGAGCAACATTATTTCTGCCCTGCAAAACACACAAAACTTCCACCAACAAAATATTACAAGATTTTTCTCCCATTTACCAAACAAAATGCCACATTGTCTTTAACTGAAGCTACTACTGTGTTCAGTTCTGGGCCCCTCGCTACAAGAAAGACCTTGAGGTGCTGGAGCGAGTCCAGAGAAGGGCAACGAAGGTGGGGAAGGGTCTGGAGCACAAGTCTGATGGGGAGCGGCTGAGGGAGCTGGGGGGGTTTGGTCTGGAGAAGAGGAGGCTGAGGGGAGACCTGATCGCTCTCTACAATGACCTGAAAGGAGGGGGTAGCCAGGTGGGGGTCGGTCTCTTCTCCCAAGTAACAAGCGCCATGACAAGAGGAAATGGCCTCAAGTTGCGCCAGGGGAGGTTTAGATTGGATATTAGAAAGAATCCCTTCACCGAAAGCATTGTCAGGCACTGGAAGAGGCTGCCCAGAGAAGTGGTGGAGTCACCATCCCTGGAGGTATTTAAAAGATGTGTAGGTGTGGTGCTTAGGGACATGATTTAGTGGTGGACTTGGCAGTGTTAGGTTAACAGTTGGACTCGATGATCTTAAAGGTCTTCTCCAAAGTAAATGATTCTATGATTCTACTAAGGATCTCTACTGAAATTCAGCTGCTGTGGGGTAAAGACACTGCGCACTGCAGAACAGAACTGGGAGATAAAGAAGCCAAGTTTTGTTACTGAAGGCCAAAACAAAACAATGGAGAGTTCAGAGAAAAAACTTGAGCTATACATGCAATGAGTGATTTATGAGCATTAGTGAAAGATGGTACAGCACAATTAAAGGCGAAGAGAGACTGAAATGTCATCATCTCCTGCATGACTACTACTAAGAGCTGAAAGACTGAGACATACCAATCTATTATTAAAACGGTTCTCACTCCACTGTCAGTAATAAAGAGGTGTTTCATGGGTAATTTAAACAATAAAGGACATCAAGAGATAAGCCCATATCTTATTCATGGACAGATCTGCTAAAAAGACTAATTAATAATTTACATCCACAGCACTGCACTTCAGGCAAGCTCCAGCAGGCATTAGTTATCTCCTACGACAGACACCCCTGACATACCTTTATAACCTGGTCGTCCAATTTTCACAAATTTCTTCACTTCCACTTTGACTTTTTCTGGTGCAGGCTGGGCAGGGGCTTCCTTAGCTTCCTTGGCAGCTCGACGGGCCCTGGAGATTAATTTGAAATGTGTCAAATGTAAAAGGTTAGCCGCACTTGTTTCTGAAGGATATGCTAGGAGCAGTTTGAATCCCTTACCACAGAATATTTAGCACTTCACAGAAAGCATGCCAGGAAAACCTGCTTTTTCTCTTCCACATGCACCACTACAGGCCTATTGTATCCATGCCTTCCCCTGACTAAAGGCTGTCATCTCAATTATCTTATCCACCCCCGAGACGATCTTGGTGCCTGTCTCCACAAATGGATTTGAAAAGACTTACTTCTTGAAATAAAAAAGAAAAACCCCACAAGCTAGTCATCTAAACCAAAGTAAACCAGATTTCTTAACAGAAAACTTAAACTTCTCCCAACCTGTGTTCACATAACCAGATCCTTTTAACTAGACTCAGACAATTTGCTTTTAAAACTCTTTCTCTCCCTTCCTTCAGAAATCCCTTAACTGCCTTTGAACTTGAGCTCAAAATGGAGCTTGTTAGCACCATTTTTTTGAGCAGATCTAGGCCGTACCTCCTGGCTAGTGCCAGACCGTTCACTAGGAAATAAACACAGTGAAAGAACATTCGAGTACAGTGTCCTACTGTACAATGGAGTTCAAGATTTATAGATGCACACAGCATCATTTTAAGGTGCTTAGGTAAAGGAGAATAAAGTTACAGTGCAGAATGACTTACAAATTGGTCTGATGCTTCTTCCCCTGGGTATGTGCTAAGTAACTTCCCTGAAACAAAATGTAGAAGAAAGTTAAATGAAGACAGGACTGCTCCTACACTGACAGATACTTGTCACAGAGGAAAGTCTATATTGCAGGTTGACAAGGATATTTTAATCCTTAGCAGAGAGGAATCTTAGTCCAAAATTGCAGATTACTCTCAGCTGCTGAACTGTCATAAACTGTCAGGCTTAACACATACAAGCCACTACCCACCCATCATCTCTTCAGCAGTCAGTCATCAGGCACGTCCCAGGTTCTTGCACTTGAAGCTACCATTATTCTAAAATACCTGCTGCTGAGATCAAGACAGACAGCTGCTCAACTCACCTCGTTGTTGTGCAGCGTTAGGCAAAGCTTGCATTCGTAAGAGCCCAAGTGATTTTTCATAAAATAAGGGTCCTAGGAAGAGAATTATTAAAAAGTTACAAGAAAAATACATGGCAAAACAGCAGAATAATCAAAATACAGCCAAACTTTTTCTGCATTGGAAGATCTGAGTTCGTAGATTTAAATTAATAGCACAACACTGCTTTAGGACTCTGGAAGCAGAGAGAAACAATAACAGCTTAATTTAATTGGTGACAGCATACCCACCTGCAGGCAAGAAACACCAAAACACAAACCAGTCCTGAGAAGACTGAAAATAACACAGTAACAGCTTCCTGAACACCCAAGTGCTGGCACCTCTCTGGTCAGTCCCATCACAAATGTTTCTCATTCAACTCCCACATAACCAGAGACAACATAAGTATTTAATTCCAATCCACAACTTTCCACTAAATCTCTCACTCTCCAAGTCGTTTTACTCAGGCAAAGCTCTAAACCTATTCCCCACAACAGTCTGCAGGCCGGGAGCCCCGTGTCTTTTCTTTCCTACGCACACAGACACCAAGGCTCACCTTGTTGATGTCGATAGTTTCCAAAGCCAGTTGCCGGAGCCGCTCCCTGCGGTCTCGGTTACTTTCTGAGGCAGAGGCTACGCCTCCGCTTCCAGTTTTACCTCCAGGACGATGCTGAAAATCCATGATGGGGACTTCTGTGCTTCAGTTACTTATGGAGAAAGAGGGAGTCTGGAAAAATGAGGAAAAGCGGTGTGAGTGATAACCAAGGCTTTTCCTAACCTGCAGTTCACACCACTATTCAGACCTGTCAGTAAGGACATGAGACAAACACAACAAACCATGCCCTGGACACTCGCCACGTGATGCAAGTTACCATGGAGCAGGTCTTGTACCACTGACTCAGTAAGTTGAGAAGTAAAATGATCCAAAATAACAAACCCTCAGAGCCCTTCCCATCTCCTCAGCCATTTCTTTTAAGCGGAGATGTATTCCTCCCTGACATGCGCCGCTGGGACCCAGCGAGGCACAGCAGCCTCACCAGTGACTGATCCCAGCCACC